CAACAATGAGATGTCATCTCACCTCAGCAATAACAGCAAAGTTCAACAAGACAGAAAATAACAAATGCTGGCAAGGATGTGGAGAGATTGGGACTCTCATACACTGCTATAAAATGGTACAACCACCATGGAAAATGGCATGGTAATTCCTTAAAAAGTTGGAAATAGAAATACTATGTGATCCAGCAATCCCACTAGTAGGGGTAGATTCTACAGAAATAAGAGCCATGGCACAAATAGATATATGCTCACCCATGTTCACTGCGGCATAATTTACAGTAGCAAAAAGATGGAAACAACCTAAGTGTCCATCAATGTATGAATGGACAAACTCTGTTACATACACACAATGGGATAATACGCAATGTTAAAATAACAACAATTCCAAGAAACACCTCATAATATGAATGAACCTAGAGGACGTGACACTGAGTGAAATAAGTCAATCACAAAAGAACAAATACAGTATGACACCAGTATTATAAAAAGTCAAGAAAGGGTTTACCCACAGAAAGAAACATTCTTTGATGGTTACCAGGGGTGGGTGGGAGAGGGAGGGAGAATCACTAACTAGAGGATAGACATGTATTAAGTTGGGTGGAGGGAAAGGCAATACGCAATAAGGGGAAGGTCCACACAATGTAACAAGGCAAAGAAAGACATGAGAGGTATGCAAGAGTGAAAGGTAACAAGGGTAGACAGTATTATATACACAATCCTACAAGGTAATAACAAACAGTAATTTACAAGTAGATACGTAGGTAGATATGTAAGCTGAACAGGTGTGGGATGGCATATAGTAGCATACCAACAAGCAGATACAGGTTTGGCAGAAGATGTTTCTACTTACGTATTTGTATGTGCTACAAATATATCCAGGTACAAAGTAGAGCATACAGGGGGCAAAATTATGTAAACTTCTCAGCCATAACCAAACACCTTGAGGACTTGAGTCACTGGGCTTGAGGGCTTAGGACCATAATCTCAGGAGACATCTAGGTCAATTGTCATAAAATAAGATAAAGACAATATTCTACATCCTACTTTGGTGAGAAGCAACTGGGGTCTTAAAAGCTTGCGAGCAGTGACCTAAAAAGATGCGACTGTTGGTCTTTTCCCATCAGGAGCAAAGAAGAGTGAAGAGGATCAAACACTGAAGGAAACAATTAGTCCAAAGGACTGACGAGTCATGCAAACCACAGCCTCCACGAGACGGAGACCAGAAGAGCTAGATGGTGCCTGGCTACTGCTACTGACTGCTCTGATCGGGACCAAAATAGAAGGTCCTGGACAGAGTGGGAGGAAAATGTAGAACAAAACTCAAAATCATAAAAACAACCAGACTTGCTGGTCTGACAGAGACTGATGGAACCCTTGAGGCTATGGCCCTTAGACACCCTTCAAACCTGGAGCTGAACCCACTTCTGGAGAACAATAGAGAGCTCTATGAAGTGAACAATAATACCCTGAGGAACGTGCTTCTCAGAACAGTCAACCCTGTGAGACCAAAAGAGCAGCATTTGCCCAAAAACCAAGTTCAGACAGGAAGGGGCAGAAAGGATGAGCAGATGGAAAGGGGGAACCCAGGGAGGAAGCGGGAAGAGCGTGTTTACATGGAGGGGATTGCAGTTGATGGCAGGAAACAAAATAGGTATAAACTGTTGAATGGGAAACTAGTTTTCCCCATAAATTTTCACCTAGACCACAATAAAGTGTTAAAAGAAAAGAAACCCACTGGCATGGGCACACCTGGGCCTTATCAACATTCACATCCTTCCCATGACTGATTCTGCAGCGCTTTCCCTAACAGATCTTGAGTGGTAGAGGACAGAGACAGGACAAAGGAAGAGGTGCCCATACGAGAGGGGCTAGGACCCACAGACAGGCACTCATTCCCAATTCCTACCCTCTTTTGAAAGAGAAATATCAGAGTTCCTGTTGCTAGGAGAGAGTGGCTTATAGACCCCCAACTGGGGTCACCGGCTGCTGCATGAGGGGCAGGGCTGTACCCAGGGCCTGCCCCCCACCCCACCTACCTCATGGGAGTAGACAATGGCGATGAGTCCAGTAAGAAGGCAGCAGAAGAGGGTCACCAGCACTGATTCCATCATATAATCCTTGGGCCGGGGCCTGTGCTCCACTGCGGTGGGGACTGCCATGCCCGCCACGGGGCTGTTGTACTGTGGAGACAGAGGCCAGTCATTCAGCCCCCAACCACGCCTAGTTCTCTCCTCTACAAATTGCTTAGAGCATCCAGCCACCAGAGGATCTATTTCATCCTTACTGGGCTCCTGCAAGGAGCCTGCAGTCTCTCCAATGCCTGGCAGCCCCAAGGATTATTATTATTTTTTTTTTTTGTATGTTTGTTTTCTTTTGTTATGAAAATCTAACCAGGTCACCCTCACTCAAAGCCCCTGGCCCCTCACAATGAATTCTCACCTTACCCACCCCTCCCTGATAAGCTGACCAGCCCATCATTCTCAGAGCACCAGGCTCATTGACCACCTCTGGGCTGTGCGGAGCCCTCTGCCTAGAGGCTGAGGCCCTTTCTTCCCTTCCCTGCCTGCACCCTCCTTTGCACCCTGCAGAACCCAGCTCCAACGCCCACACCTCTGGGAGGCCTCCAGGCTCTCCACCCCGGCCCCCTCCCCCCGACCTGGCAGAGGTGGCTCTTTCCTCCTCCAGGCACAGAAGTCCCCTCTGCACCGGTAGCAGTAACCTCTCATCCGTCGTTCCAGCCTCTCCAAACTGGCAGCCCCCTGTGTGCCCACAGTTGGCACAGGCCGGTGCTGATAGAACAGATGAGGGAGGGAGGCAGGACAGTTCGAAGCGTGGTGCAGGCCCAACCCCTGCCCACACTGCCAGGGCCTGGGACCCCACTCACCATGGGGAAGGGGAAGGCACCTCCTCCTCCGGTGGCAGGGGGTGAGAAGAGGGGCGGCGGTGAAGGTCCCGCGGAGTATAGAGGTGTGGCCGCGGGCGGCGGCGGGTACAGGGCCTGGGGAGAGGGCCCAGGCTGGAACAGCACTGGCACCTGGGGGAAGGGTGGGTAGAGCAGGTGCACGGCCTTGGGGTCCGGCGGGGCGTAGGGCGGGGGCTCACCCACGAAGCCGATGTTGGAGACCCCACTGGGTGCCAGCTTGGACTCCTGCCCGGCCTCACCCATGGCCTGGGAACCAGCAGGGGCCTGAGTAGGGGATGCTGCTGAGGCCTCAGTGGGGGGATCCGCCGGGGTGTCCTCCCGGGTCTGCTCACCCCGCTCAGTGCAACCAGGGCCGCTGCTGCCCTCCACAGGCCCTGCGGCCCCTTCCTCACTGGCCCCTCCATCCTCATCCAGTAGCTGTGGACGGCGCGGGAGCTGTGGGAGTGCTGGGTGCTCCAGGCTCTGAGGGCCCTTGGAGTCTGTGCCCCCTCTTGTGTCCCGTCCTAGGAAGAAATGGCAGGTACTATGAACCCCAAGAGGCAGCTGGACCACTGGGACTCCTTTTCACCCACAGCCCCAAGGACAAAGTCCCATAGACCATGCTGATCTTGACCACTTCTAGGTACCAAACAACCAGACTTGCTGGTCTGACAGAGACTGATGCAACCCTTGAGGCTATGGCCCTTAGACACCCTTCAAACCTGGAGCTGAACCCACTTCTGGAGAACAATAGAGAGCTCTATGAAGTGAACAATAATACCCTGAGGAACGTGCTTCTCAGAACAGTCAACCCTGTGAGACCAAAAGAGCAGCATTTGCCCAAAAACCAAGTTCAGACAAGGAAGGGGCAGGAAGGATGAGCAGATGGAAAGGGAGAACCCAGGGAGGAAGCGGTGACCTACTCAGCTCACTCCCATTGTCCCAGCCCTCACAGAATCCTCACCCAAAATCCAACGATGTGAGGAGAAAACTGAGGTCCAGAGAGTTTAAGTGCTTTCTGGAGGTCACATAGCCAGTGGCAAGGATGGGATGGGAGCCCAGGTTGTTGCCACTGCCCTGACCAATGCTTGCTACAGATTGCCTCTGTTGGGAAACAGTGCCCACCCCCAGGCCCTGCTGCCACAGTGGATTGGACCAGGGAAGGAGCATTGACTCAAGGTAGCGCTCTAACATACTGACCCAGATACAAGTCCTATGGAGGACAGTCTGAGATTCTTGGCTTGGGGTTTGGATTAGAAATTGTGGGGAAGGGGTGGAGTGCTCAGGAGCTGCCAGACCATGGCTAACAAGTGACATGGAAGAGCCAGGTGGTCACCAAGGCATAGAAGGAACAGAATCCTGAACATTTAGGGGGCTAGGGAAAGGAGAGGGCATGGCTGGAGAGAAGCCAAGCCAGCAGTTTGAAGCTGGGGCTCAAAGGCACTTGAGGTGCCCAGTCACCTTCCAACTCTCGTCCTGCCCTCAGCATTCAAATGATAAACTGTGGAGGCACCTGTCCACAAATCCTGAAGATCTTCTTTCATTTCCTGGGAGCATCCTGACTGATTGAGCACCTCCAGATGTCAGGCAGGTGCCTGTGGTAGACTGAAAGAGAGTGCTGGGATCTGGTCCACCTCCCAGTTCATCGCATAGTGCCTGGAGTCTTAATTTGCAAGTGGCCATCCAAGGCACGAAAATTAGTCTCTATTTGCCTGGAGCAACAGAGGAAGGAGAGTCAGGAATAGAAGGAAGAAATGGAATGTGTGGTTAATTGCTTCAGTAAACAACTACTTCCTTTGCCATGAGACCAGAAGAACTGGATGGTGCCCAACACCATTACTGAACATTTTGATCAAAGAGTCTGTAGAAGAATACTGATTAAAAGGGGGGAAATGCAGAACAGAATTTCAAATTCTCATAGACTCCAGACTTTCCGAAGCTGTGGAGGCTGAATGGACCCCTGAAACCCTTGCCCTAAAATAATTTTTAAACAATAAACCAAAAATATTCCCTGAAGTCTTCTTAAACAATAGTTAGCTTCACTAGGAAAGAACGCCTGCCTTGAGCACTATGCTCTTGTAAGAACTATCTCTATGGAATCAAATGAACAGCAACTCAAAGATTAGATGGGAACCTTAGGAGACAATGAGTGTATGTTCATGGGGGAGGAATAAGTCAGAAAAGGAAAGTGAGAATGGTTGCACAGCTCAAAGGATGTAATGCATGTCACTGAACTGGACATGTAAAACTTGAATTGGTGTCTGTTTCTGCTGTATATATTCTCAACAAAAAATAAAATAAATTATTAACAAAAGCGAGTGCTGGGGAGGGTCCGTCTGTGAGGCAGGCATCAAGGCCTCACAACAAGGGTGGGCAGCCCAGGGCTGAGGGCCTGGCTCTGGAGGTTCATTTGCTAAGTGGCCTTATGGCTTCTACAAGGCAAATTATAATTGTTCTTTGCCATGGGGTTGATTCTCACTTATGGTGATCCCATGTCAGAGTAGAACTCTGCTCCATAAGGATTTCAAGGCTGATGTTCCAGAAGTAGGTCACCAGGCCTTTCTCCCTACAAACCACCAACCGTTCAGTGAGCAGCAGATTGCATTAACCATGGGACAACCCAGGGACTCCCTGCAAGGCAGAGGGATAAGCAAAATAGCTACAACACTGGGCATCTCAGGTGAAGGTGGGTGGAAACTTTCTGAAATCCCTAAGCTAGGCTGGTGGGTGGAGTCAGAGGCCAGGGATCATTAGGGGAGGAGACCTCAAGGGCAGGGGGTGCTGAGACCCTGAGAGCTCCCCCGATCCCTCCCAGCACCCAGGGTCTCACTCACAGACCTACTATGGCATCTGTGCCTCCACACCTTTGGCCATGTGGTGCCTCTGCCTGCCGAGCCAAAGTGCTCCATCAGCCTCCGTGACTGTCTCGTGTCAGTCTTATCCTCCGATTTGTTCTTTTTTTCATTACTGAACACACACTCTGCTGCAAAAGGCTGTGTAGGGATAGGGCTACACAATGAATAAGAGTCGAACTGCTGTATGGAAAGTTAATTTCCTCTGTAAGCTTTCACCCAAATCACAATTTAAAAAAAAAAAAAAAAGTAATAAATTCTGAGGAAAAGTAAAGGAAAAAAAAAAGAACAACCATAATCAAACCCATTGCTATCCAATTACAACTCTCAGCAACCCCTTGTGTGACAGTAGAACTGTTCCATAGGGTTTTCTTGGCTGTAATCTTCACAGAAACAGATTGCCAGGGCTTTCTTCTGTGGCACCACTGGGTGGGTTTGAACCATCAACCTTTAGATTAACTGTCGAGAGCAAACCTCTTGCACTGCCCAGGGACATTCCTTCCATCAAGAAATGGTTCTATTTCTACACCCCTTGAATCTGGGCTGGGGCATGTGATTTGTTTTGGCCAATGGGACACTGACAAATATCTTGCAAGCAGAGGTTTTAAAAATCTCCCCCTCTTGCTGCTTATAACTAAAAACTCAAGGCAAAATACAAAAAGCAATTACCTGGGTCCTTGAGACTATGGTCACAGGGGACATCAAACTCAATTGGCATAACAAACTACACAAAAACACTGTTCTAAATCCTACTTTGGTGAGTAGCGACTGGGGTCTTAAAAGCTTACAAGAGGCCATCTAGATGCAACAATTTGTCTCTCCTCATCCAGAGCAAAGAAGAATGAAGAAATCCAAAGACACGTGGAAACAATTAGTCCAAAGGACTAGTAGACCATGTGATCCTCAGCCTATATGACCATGAGACCAGAAAAACTAGATGGTGCCCGGCTACCACTGTCAACCATTTGGAGGGATATCGGTGCAGCAGATCCTGGATAGAGTCGGAGAACAATGTGAAACAAAACTCAAAATCATAAAATAAATAAAAACCAGGTTTGCTGGTCTGATAGAGCCTGATGAGACCCCTGAGACTATGGTCCTGTGGTGGTTAAGCTTGTGTGTCAACTTGATTGGGCCTGATTGAGTGGCTGGGCAGCTGGATGTAGTATTCCCGATGATGAGACTGGCAATCAACTCCATGGTGGGATCTACTGTGAGCAGCTGAGTAGCTGCCTTAGGGATGTGGTCTGCTTCCTGTATATAAGGAGAAGCCTTGGGGAATGGTCTCTAGTTTATGGCACGCTTGAACCCTGCATGTAGCCGTGTCATTGTTCAGCAGCCTGCCATGCTCTGCCAACCTTGGGACTTTCAATGGACTTGAATTAATGGCCTGCCATGTTTGATAACATCAAGACTGTACCATTTTACTTGTTAGCCTCAGCAGCCAGTAGCTGCCTGTGTGAAGAGATGCCTCTAGCTTCAGTGGCTGAAGGAAGGCAAACAGAACCAGGCAACAGTGGGTGGCACAGATAAAGACTTGACTACTAGCTGAAATGCTGTCGGTTTGAACCCACCCAGACGCACTTGGAAGTCAGGCCTGGGATCTGTTTCTGCAAGGTCACAGCCTTGAAAACAGACTGGAATGCTGTTCTATTCTGCATATGCAGGGTTGCCAGGAGTCAGAATCCACTCAACGGGCAACTGGAGAACAGGCAAACCATTATCTTGAGGTCAGGAAGAGATTGGAAGATCAGAATGTGGAGGGGTATTCTGCCAGCTGCTGACTGTGTAGGAAGTGGGGGAAATGAAAACTGCTGAGAAAGGAAGTCCACACTTTAAGTTGGAAAAATCTGTGACTTTGACCCTGTAGGGACTTAGGGGCTGTTCTTCTGCTGGGGGTCCACATTCAGATTAGAATTTGGGCTAAATATCATTGAGGGAGGTATCAGCCAGACCTCAACCAATGTAGAGACCTTGTTGGGTGGTGCTCTGAGGGTCTCCAGGGCAGCTTCCCAAACTCACCCATCGAGGCCCTGACCTCTTCCCGGCCAAAGACTGTTTTTTGAAATAATAAGAAAGACTGGAAAATGAGAAGGTATATTTGCTGTATAGGCCACAGGTGCTTTGCCTGAGCACCAGTGAGGCTGGCTGACTTATTCACATAGCTTTCAGTCAAACCCACTACCCCTGGGACATAAAGCCCCAAACTTCCCTAAGCATATTCAACTATAGCTATTTACCCCCTCCAAATGCTGGGGAGTAAGGCCCGAGCTGGTCTTCCTGTCCAAGGAAACCCAGGCTGTCTTGCCTTGTGCGGGCGCAGCGTCCCCTCCTGGCAGAGGGGCTGTTCAATGGTCCTGCTTAGTCTGGTGCGCGGCTCCCAGTGTGGAGAGGATTGGTGCTCTGTTTCTGCACTCACTGTCTTTCTTCCTCCAGCACAATGACAGCTGCATCAGGGCTGGCACAGGACAGGTGCTCAGTAAATGTTCACAAGTGTTCCTACTCAGGCTGGACAGAGAGGCCGGTGACTGTGAGGCAGGATCTGAAATGAGCACGTAGAGCCAGGGCCAGGAGTCCATACTTTGGGCTCCTAGGAATGATGCTGATGTCATTCTGAGTGGCTGAATCATTAAATGAATCCCACCTCCTCCCAGTTTTCAGTTGTACAACACTGACAACCTTAGTCCTTTTCTACAAAAGGGTCTCACTGAGAACGAGGGATGGCCTTAGTCGGAAGGGCTGGCTAGCAGACACTAGGAGGTTGCCATGTGTTTCTTCAGTTGTAACCGAAGTATCATATGCATTTGGATTTGTTTGTGTCATGGACCCCTCGGAGCAGAAGCCAGGTGGTTAACAGGCCCTGCCCATGTGCCTGCAGGCGCAGATCCACCTGCTGGGGAACATCGTGATCTGGGCCTCGGCCAGCCTCGCCATGGCCACCTACGTGCTGCTCTTCCTCTGGTACCTGCTCCGCCGGCGAAGGAACTTCTGTGACCTCCCTGAGGGTCAGCACAGCTTGCTCTCGTCCCCCTTGGATGGCTCTTCCTTGTCATTCCCATGAGTTCATTGTGCTTTGGGTGCCAGCCGGGCACTCTCCGTGACAGCCCGAGTCACACGGCAACCCCACTGCACGCCTTAAGGCGACCTTTCCGTCTCTGCAACGAGGGAACTGGCGTTAACTTGAGTTTTCCTCAGGGCCTGGCTGCAGTTGAGTTCCCACACGCATTAGAGGCCTCCCGGTGACGGGCAGGCCGGCCAGGCAGGAGGAACTCTGCGGCCTGCACTGTGGGAGCCCTGTCTCAGCAGACTCTTGCTGTTCCAGTGTCGGGGGACAAACACGACCCTCCCACAGGAGTCTCAGCCCAGCTCAGCATCTCAGATGAGACTCGATGGGCCCAGACGGCCCAGGCCAGCACAGTGCAGTAGACTAAGGCCAGCCAGCATTCTGCATAAACACGCCAAGGCTGCGGCCCTGGCTCTCCGGGGATGGTGTTTCTCAGAGGACAGGGATTGGGGGACCTGGCAGGAAATGATAGGAGGTCTCTAGGACACAGTCCACTCCTTCTCCAGAGAGGGGGACGTAGCAGGGAGGGGAAGTAAGACCAGAACTAAGAACGTATGCACGTAACTTAAAAGACTGTCAGCTCGCTGATTCACTGGTGAGCTTCCACAGAGCTAACCCCAGTACTGGCTGAAGGTGTCTCCTCTCCCCCAGATTGCTGGCTACACTGGGTGCTGGCTGGGACTCTGTGCTGCGGGGGCTGGGCCGTGAACTACCTCCCTTTCTTCATGATGGAGAAGACGCTCTTCCTTTACCACTACCTCCCGGCACTCACTTTCCAGACCATCCTGCTCCCCGTGGTCTTCCAGCACATGAGCGACCACCTGTGCAGGTACAGGCTCCCTGCAGTTGTTCCTCTTCACTTCTGACTGCAGCGTCACGCGCGTTTGAACTTGCTAGTGTCATGGTTCTCCCTCTCTGAGCAGAAGGCAGGTGGTGAACAGATCTCCTGGTCTCGGTCAGGAAGCTTTACTGATACCCGTGCTCTGTGCAAGATTGGGGGGGGGCGTTTGGTGTTCAGGGTCCTGTAGGGAAGTTCACAGAAGAGGCACAAACGAGGCATTATGGGAACTCAGGAGGAAGTTTCAGTTGGCTGAGCTGAAAGCGTGTGGGTGGGAACTGAGGAGGGACATTTAGGCCCTAGAGAACAACAGGAGCAAAGGCAAGGAGCGGGAATGGGGGCTGTTGGCCGGCATGTGTGGAGGTCAAGATGAGCCTAGAGCGCTTGGAGCTCCAGCGAATTCTGGAGAGAAGGGCATGGACTTGTTCTGGTCGTCAGGAGCTTCAGGGTGTTTCAGGAGGAACGTGATGTGGCCAGGCGGGGTCTGGGGCCAACACTGTGGCATCTTCCGTGAGGCGGACCACGGCTGTGGAGACTGCAGAGCAGACGAGTGAGGAGGGCCCTGCTCAGTGCAGCCTGGCAGGAGGACAAGGGCGGGAAACAAGGGGCGGCGGGAGGACTAGCGCGCACGGGACGGGTGTGAGAAACAGGAACATCGGCAGGACTTGGCAGCTGACTGTGGGCAGCAGAGACCCAAGAGGACGCTGGGCGGGGGCATGGCTGGTCCACAGGCAGGAAGCGGAGGAACCGGCCTCCTAACCCACTGCCCGGCCCTGCTGCCCGCAGGTCCCAGCTGCAGAGGAACGTCTTCAGTGCCCTGGTGGTGGCATGGTATTCCTCCGCATGCCACGTGTCTTACACCCTGCGCCCACTGACATACGGGGACACGTCTCTGTCCCCGAGTGAACTCAGGGCCCTCCGCTGGAAAGACAGCTGGGACATCTTGATCCGGAAGTAGCGGCAGAGCAGGTACTCGGAGAACAGTGTGCCAGCACAGGACAAGGCAGAACCAGTCTTTGGTGAAGACTTCTCTTTCAAACCTGCAGTGTCTCTGCGTCTGGAGGAGACTGGCCAGGTCTTGCTAAAGATTCTGCCATAATTTATAATGGTTTCGTTCTTGAAACTCTGATGAGCCCTTCGTTTGGAGGAGTTTATTTATTCCAGACAGTAAAGAACAGGCCCTACATGTCTGCTAACTCCTCAGAGACCCACTGAAGGAAGACACAGGACTTAGCAGGCCAGCCATTCAATTGCACAGTATTTATTGAGCACCTACTGTGGACCAAGCATGAGGCATGATGGTTCAGTGGTAGAAGCTTCACCTTCCATGAGGGAGACCCAGGTTCGATTCTCAGACAATGCACCCCCGCTTCTGTTAGTGGTGGTTTGCGTGTTGCTCCGAAGCTGTGCAAAGCCTCTGTGTGGTTTGCTCTTGTTGGCTTGAACTAACCCAGCAGCACCAAGGAAGAAAGGCCTGAGAATCTGTGTTGTAAAGATTACAGCCAAGAAGACCCCACGGAGGTCTGTTCTACTCTGTAACACATGGGGTTGCCAGGAGTAGAATCAATCTAATGGCAAAGGATATGATTTTGAACAAGATGAAAAGTTTGGGAGGAAAAGGCCTGGTTCTCTCCATCTGAAAATCAGCCGGTGGATCACAACGGTCCTATCAGAAACCAATCATGAGCATGGCCCAGCACCCGGCAACAGTTTGTTCCACTGCTCATTGGGACACCATGATTCAGGGGGCTGATTCTATGGCAACTAACAACATGGGCCAGGCAGGGTTCTAGGCTCAGAGTACAATTGTGTACCCAAATCCTACAAAAATGCCTGATTGAAAAAGAAAAAAAAAAAAAAACATCTTATTTCAGCTGGTTCTAGTGCCTATGGGACAGGTGAGTCCATGAAGCTCCCTGGGTAAGACATCCAAGTGAATAATAACATCAGTGCTACGAGCAACGGCACCGTCCTTACACATTTAAGAGGTGTCTCCGTGTAACTGCAGCAACATTAAACCCACATAACAGCTGCACTCTGGCTGTGTGGCAAGTGACTTAAGCTCTCTGTGCCTCAGTGCCTTATCTGTAAAATGAGGGTAGCAACAGTAGCTTTAAAGACAGTAACAGTGGACCAGGCTCTGTTGGGAGAGCTTTGCAGGTCGTCTCAGGTGTGCCTATATTTCCATCAGTTCCCTGATCAGGTCATCTGAGCTGCAGGGAGCCCCAGCCAGTTCCCACCCGATCCCACAGGGCGATTGCCCGGAGGACTGGCGCAGCCCCTGCACCAGTTATCATAACAAAAACCACAGTTTTCCCGGGTCTCGCCAGGGCAAGTACCCGGCCAATCGCTCCGAGATAGAGCCGCAGAGTAAATAAATTTGCTGGCCCGGCTGCAGGGCAGCGGCCATGGTTCTCGGATTCTTGACACTCGAGCCTCTATCGGACATTCCAGCGGGAAAGGAGGCCTGGGGTTGCCCCTGGGGAAGGAGGTTGCTGGAGGCTCTGGGGGGTGCTGGAGAAACCCCGGAAGCCCGGGGGCGGGGCAGAGGGAGGCTAGGCCCTGTCCCTGTTCGCCCCCCATCTCCTGAAATGTGGGTGTGTCCCTCCCCTTCCACCCCGACCTCACGCGGGTTCTTGAGGGGGCCCGGGCAGGACTCTGCACGTCCCGCAGCGCCCGGATCCGCCTTGCGGTCACCCCCTTCACCATCCAACCCCGTCAGCCTAGGACTCCACGGCTCAGGGACAGGGGTTCGGTTCACGGTCTCTGCCCACCCCACACACCCCCAGCCCTCCTCGCAGCGCCTGGCTCCCGCCAGGCCATCGGAGTGACTGAATGAGGCTCCCGCGTTCCCATCCAGTCTCCATGTCCCTAGCTCTGTCCGTCCCGCCTCCCCGTTTCTGTCCCTCTCGGTCTCAGATGCCGTTTGCGGGGTCTCTCGCCCTATCTGTGGCCCTCTGCTTTGCCCCCTTGGCTGGGCAGCCTCTCCCCCTGCCCGAAAGACTTCAGCAGGACCACAAAGTGAACAAAGCCACGAGGGGAGTGGAAAATGCCCAGAGAACTGGCCCGTCCCTGGAGGGCTGGGCAGGGCCTGCTGCCGGGGCCTGGGGTCACAGGCTGCCCCCACGCAGCTCACCCGCAGGGCCTGCAGGGCTGGGGCGTGGGGCGCAGCCAAAGTTGCCTGAACTTCCCACCGCAGCCTCGGCTCTGAGCAGGGCGAAGGGTTGCAGAATAAGGTCAAGGTGGGCCCCGCGGTAGCAGCGCCCGCGCCCTCCCTCTGTTCCCGCACCTAGCCATTCTCCCTCCGCCCGCGGCCCCAGGGACGGGACCCCGGGGACCTGGGTCCGCGTGGGCACGCACCCCTCATCAGGCCCCGTGGCCTTACCTCCCTCCATGGCCGGTGCCGGAGGCCGGGACAAGTGCGGCCGCCGCAGCTCCAAGCTCCCGGCGCTCGGGTTCCGGGCTCGCGCGCGCCACCGTCCCACCCGCCACCACCCGGCTGGCTCCACTTTCGCCGCCGGCTCTGGTTTCCTGGTGCCGGCTGCGCGGCCGGTTAATAATTGACTGCCTTGTTTGCCGACGCCTGTGTCAACAGGTCGCTCCCCTCGCGCCCTGGCGCTCGGAGCCCGAACCTGCGTCCTCGCGGTCTGGGCCGGGACCCCGTGCCGCTGCGTTCTCCGCGCCCGCCCAGTCCAGGGCGCTCGGGCAGATGGCGCCGGCGGGGGCTGGGGGCTGCCGCCTCCTCCCCTGACCCCGAAGGTGTCCAGTGCGGCGGCTGCGGCCAAATCACAGCCCGGGGGAGAGTCTGTTCTCTGCGGGAAGAAAGGGAAGGGCCTGATGCAGACTTTAAGTGACGCTATAACTGAGCTGAGATGGGACGGAGGAGCAGGTCAGGCAGAAAGGGCAGGAATAGCAAATCCAAACGCCCACTGGGCAGGCAGGTCAGCCGGGAGACCATAAGGAGTGTCAGGGACTTGGGCAAACTGGAGAAAACAGATGGGTGCAACTGTGTCCAAAGAGGACCGCGGGGGACTCATAGTTGCCAGATCTCCACGCCCTGCCAGTCCAAGAGAAGTCAGAAATGCAGGTCATGAGAAATCTCCAATTTTTTTTTTTTTTTTTTATTGCGATTTGGGTGAAAGTTTACAGAACAGATTCATCTTCCATACAACAGTTTGTACACATTTTGCTTCATGACATTGACTGCAATCCCCATAATGTAACAGCACTCTTCCCACTTCCTTCCTGTGGTAACCTTTTCCCTGTGTCCTTCTTTCCTGTGCATTCCTGCCCTCTGCGCAATCTCCTTGTGCAAATACTGCCCTTCTGATCTCCAGATTTAAAAGTACATATACATGTGTGAGGCTTCTATTCACTGAAATTTGCCAGACTGGCAAATTAAGTCTCAATGCAAACACCCGGAAATAGAGCATTAACTGTATCAGCATGTCAAACATTGTTTGAGATTCATAGCTGAACCCCCAAGGTAGTGAGGAAAAGCCCCAGGACCAAGAATGTCGCGCGAGAGCAGAGGGTGAGGCTGCTGCTCACGGTGGGGTTATTGGTCTCAGGGATGGAGGCTTGAATTTTACAGTAGAGGGGAAAGGAGATGAAGTCTGTGATGAAGAGAGATGGACAGAAAACAAAGCCTGCTGGTGGATCATGGAGGTGGTAAGGAAATTGATCTGACCCAGCCTAGGCTCTGGATGAGGAAATAAAATTCCCTGCGAGTTGTAACCACAGTCTCGTTCCTCACATGGTCATGAGGCTCAAATTCAGCCTATCCATGTGGCCTGGAACCTCTACACTAAACACCTGATTTTAAAAAAAGTAGTGGAAGGCGAGAGTGCTGGGGTCCAGCCAAAGCAAACACACAAATACTGTGTTGGGACACAAGCCTCACCCAAGCTGAGATTTCCATAGAAAATTCACCCCTGGAGATGGAATAAGGAGCTCTGGAGCGCTCTGGTGGCCTAAGGCACTTGACTGCTAACCAGAAGGCTGGTGGTTCAAACCCACCATCCACTCCTTGGAAGGAAAATCAGGCAATCTACTTCTGTAGTGATACCGCCTCGCAAACCCAAGGAGGGGTCACTATGAGTTGGATCTGACTCAGCGTCAGTGAGCTTGTGGTTTTTTTTTTTTTTTTTTGGTGGTGGTGTAGTGGCTGAGGCATTTGGCTGCTAAGAAGGTCAGTGGTTCAAACCCACCAGCTGCATCACGGAAGGAGGATGGGGCAGTCTACTTCCATAAAGATTTATAGCCTCAGAAACCCAATGGGGGTTGCTATGAGCAGGAATCGACTTGATGGCAGTGAGTTTGGTTTGGTTTTTTTGGCGGTACAGTGGTTAAAGCACTTGGCTGCTCATCCCAAACAGTCAGCAGATTGAACCCACCAGCCACTCGGCGGGAGAAAGATGAGGCAGTCTGCTTCGTAAAGATTTAACCTCATGGAGCACTTCTCTGTTGTACAGGATCACTGTGAATTGGAATTGGCTCACTCACTCACTCACTCTCCGCTGTTGAGTCTAATCCGACTCATAGTGACTCCTCCTTGGATTTCTGAGGTGGTATCTCTACAGAAGTAGCTTGCCCAGTCTTCCTTCCGAGGAGTGGCAGCTGGTGGGTTTGAACCGCCAGGCTTCTGGTTAGCAGTAAAATACCTTAGGTACTAAGCCACCAGAGCTCCCAATTGGCTCAACAGCAGTGAGTTTTGGTTCGAAGATGAATGAACTCACATCCCAAATGGCAAAACACATAGGGAAATAATCCACCATGAGAGAGACTCTGTGAGATTAGGCATGGATCCAATCTGGAAAACAGAAATCACTTGGAGTATTTAAAACAGAGCATTTTAGTGCAGGAAGCTGGTGTTAGAGATGTGAGAAGAGGCTAAACTTAACCACAGAAGAGTGAAATAACTCAGAGCTTAGCAAGAGCATGGGGTGTTATTGAGGG